ACAGCACTGTGAATTCATGTGTTTAACTTAAAGGGACACGTGCTTAGCACAAGATGTTCATGAACAGATCTGATAACTACTGATGTTATGACACTGAAATTCATTAAAAAAGAAATGAGCAAAACAAAGTGCCGGGAAAACTTAAGGAAAAAAGGACGCTACAAAACAACAAGCGTGTCTGTGTTCGTCAGCGAACAAACAACAGTAAAAACAGAATTTGATTTTAAAAGATAGCACTTAGCTGAAATGTGGTGTCTGAGAGGACGGCAAAAGGCTGTTTACAATTTCTTAACATAATTACGCAATGTTTGTTAACTGGAAATTTGTGTTGAGTTGATATAAACCCAACAATGCTCAAACTGCAATTCTCGTAACTCATCAATTTGATGATTAGTGAAACTGATGCAACTTGATGATTAGTGAAACTGATGCAACTTGATGCTGCCACACACAATAAAAATTGATCTTCAATACGAGCATTTATTTTTATTGCCAACAGGAACTGACCTTTTTAAAATTCTCGCCCTGTAAAACCGTTGAACCCCTCCTGGAGTCATCGGCGCCCCCTAAAAGATCATCCACTGAGCTCCTCCTGGAATCGCCGCTCTCCTGTAAGAGATTGTCGGCTGAGCCCCTCAGCCAGTCGTCCGATCGGTGTGAGTCGTCAAGGCTACTGTTCAGCTGGGGCGAGGACCTCAGGGTGTTGAGAGAAGACTGTGAGTTATCGAGAGCGCTGTCCCTTTCGAAGCCCGAAGAGGAGAATGAAGTGTTGCTGATGCTAGAGGAGACATCACTGCGGTCTCTGGCCGTCAATAAGGTATCGCGGAGAAGATCCTCAACACTGGTGCTCGAGCTTCGACTGCCATTACGTAAATCTGTGTGTCAGATAAAGTAGCATATCGTTATTTTCAGGGTAATGTTATAAAAATGGTATGACTTCATGTGTAGAAATTGCCTAATTAACCCATTCAAACCGTGGTAACAGCAAAATAAGGCCACTCAAACACGCTGTTTTCATGTTATATGTAGCTAGCACAGATCTCACCATTGAAATGAGAGCCTCGCAAGATACGAGACCACGGTGGATAACTTCCAAATTTTGAATTATAGATCAGACAAGGAGTATTCATTATTTTGATAGGAGATTAACTTTTGTAGCGCCATGATCATGAGTAATCAAGTACTTTGTCATAGTTCTTTAAAAATTTACCCAACAAAAGAGAGAACTAATGTAATATGACACATAAATGGACCAGTTATGAATGCAAATCAATTTATTTCATAAAAATATATTACAAAACAAATTTGTTATTCGATTTTTAAAAAAAAATGTTTAAACTAATATGTGATAAATGTGGAGTTGTTCCCATACGGCTGGGGTTTCAATGGATAAAATTTCCGATTGCCCTGTGTTGAATGGGTTGATGGGGGAAAGCTTTTTTGTGACTCACCTTCATTGTCATCAACATCTGGCGTTTCCATCTCGTAAAATTTTCTCTTGATGTAAAGGGGCGTGTTGGGGGTGGGCTCCTGCAACAGCTGATCAATTAACTCGTCGTCTTCTTGGCTCGACTTCTCCTCTAGTGGGCTGGATGGGACGGGGAGGGCACTGGGTCTGGTTGGAGAGCCTATTGTATTCTTGATCTCTTCAACTTGTTGGTTCACTGTGACAGCAGGAGGGGAGGATCACAAGAGGAGGTCACTAGGCTTATTCAAATGGTCTGGTGGGGAGGGGGGGGTGTTTGAAAAGTTGAAGAAAAACGGTATAGTTGACATAAGAGATCAAGTTAAATTTTGAGTAATTTAACAAATGACATGTTTGCAAGATTATGATGGATTGGAATTTTTAAAAAAATCTTATAGACTCCTTAAAAACCCATGATGCTGTTTATCTTTAGGTATTTCGTTGTAGAGAGTACATAACATTATTGACAGAGACATGAACCTTTTTATTACCATCAACCTGTCATAACACGTCTGGCATGGATTTACACCGTCATCCCTCATCCAGACGCTGCATCCAATGCAACTGAAATACTGAAAATGTTGAGCCTGAATCTGCTCCCGGAGTAAAATGTTCAAATACCAGAGATACGTACCTGTAACACCTGAACTGTCTGCAGAATTGTTGTTGTCCAATGTGAAAAGTGTGGGTGGTGATGGGTGGGATGTGCCTGTACCAGCATTCTCCTGGCTTACATCTAATGATGGCCGTTTGGATGAGTCGTCGTGTGATGTGGGGGTTGATGGTGGAAAGCTGCCAGGTATTGCTATAGTGGACGGGACAAGTTGGTCCAGCCGCTCTAATAGTATCGGCACAGGTACGTTAGGGACATGCTGGTCCATCGACTCTGATAGTGTCGTCAGAGGTAGGTTAAGGACGTGTTGGCCCAGTGGCTCTGATAGGGTTGGTAAATGTAGGTTAGGTCCATTTGAAGTTAGCTTGACAGACTCCGCTCCAGAGGACCTGCTTTCGGCGTGAGAAGAGTCAACTTTAGATGGGTTGGTCAGAGTGAAGGCGCGCCTCCTTTCCACGGTGAGGAGCCTGGTGATGTTTTCCTGCCAGCCTAGCTGTTTGGCAAAGCCTTTAGCTGCCCCTGTCTTGGATACAATGATGGCTAAAAGCTGGTGGCAGAAGAGAAAAAGAGGTCAGAACAAAGAAACTGAGAGAATGTATAAAATCTGACAGTATTAATATGTGTACACTGCAATGGTGTGGCTGGCTTAAAATGTATCAACTCTAGGGGCTTCACAATAGGGCTGAACATAGTGAGATAACACTTTGAGTGATAGTGGGCCACTCAAAACAAGTAGATGCCATGGATTTAGCGGGGTGGGGGGGATGGGGTTCCTCTCAAATACAATTAAACTTTAATAAACTATCTTTATATTCAGCCATGGGTTATAGCTTTCAAACTTTATCTAAAGAACTGTCTTGATGTGCATCACAGTTTATATAGGGGTGCATCACAGTTTATATAGGGGTGCATCACAGTTTATATAGGGGTGCATCACAGTTTATATAGGGGTGCATCACAGTTTATATAGGGGTGCATCACAGTTTATA